CAACACCCTTGCAATAACCCAAAATACCCTATCATCTGCTTAATAACAACCTAGCAACCAACTAGAAATCCAAGCAGTGGTATGACAACACCCTAGCAACCAACTAAAATATCCAAGCAGAGGTATGACAACACCCTAGCAACCAACAAGAATATCCAAGCAGTGGTATAACAACACCCTAGCAACCAACTAGAATATCCAAGCAGTGGTATGACAACACCCTAGCAACCAACTAGAATATCCAAGCAGTGGTATGACAACACCCTAGCAACCAACTAGAATATCCAAGCAATGGCATGACAACACCCTAGCAACCAACTAGAATATCCAAGCAGTGGTATAAAAACACCCTAGCAACCAACTAGAATACCCAAGCAGTGGTATGACAACACCCTAGCAACCAACTAGAATATCCAAGCAGTGGTATGACAACACCCTAGCAACCAACTAGAATATCCAAGCAGAGGTATGACAACACCCTAGCAACCAACAAGAATATGCAAGCAGTGGTATGTCAACACCCTAGCAGCCAACTAGAATATCCAAGCAGTGGTATGACAACACCCTAGCAACCAACTAGAATATCCAAGCAATGGCATGACAACACCCTAGCAACCAAGTAGAATATGCAAGCAGTGGTATCACAACACCCTCGCAACTAAATGGAATACACAAGCAGTGGTATGACAACACCCTAGCAACCAACTAGAATATCCAAGCAGTGGTATCACAACACCCTAGCAACCAACTAGAATATCCAAGCAGAGGTATGACAACACCCTAGCAACCAACTAGAATATCCAAGCAGTGGTATGTCAACACCCTAGCAGCCAACTAGAATATCCAAGCAATGGTATGACAATACCCTAGCAACCATATAGAATATCCAAGCGGAGGTATGAAAACACCCTGGCAACCAACTAGAACACCCAAGCAGTAGTATGACAACACCCTAGCAACCAACTAGAATATCCAAGCAGTGGTATGACAACACCCTAGCAACCAACTAGAATATCCAAGCAGTGGTATGAC